CTGGTCTTGGACTTGCTCATCTCAATCGCTCGCAGTCGCTCGAGCACCAGCCGCATGTCCTTCTCGTACTCTGCGAGCATCTGCGTCCGATGAGAGCAGGGAGGGAGAGGAGGCACTGGGGGAGAGGAGGAAGAAAAAGAGCCGAGCGAGACTGAAGGGAAAGTCCGAACGACGAGGATGGAGAAGAAGGATGGGCAGGAGCAGGTAAGGGAGGGAGGAAGAGGAGAGGAGAGACCTGGAGATTTCGACGTCGACGAGGATTGAAGAAGAATGGGTTAAGGAAGGAGCGACGGAGAGGTCGGAGAGCCGCGATGAGCTTGAAGCAGGGGAGGACGAGCCATGCAGGCAGAGCAATCTTCATCGGCAGCCTGGCGACGAGGAGTGAGGGGGAGGGGACGGAGAGAGCAAGCTGCTACCCGGTCACTTTGTCGCGCGGGGAGAGGAAGGGAGGGGAGAGGAAGAAGGTCATGGAGTAGGGGCCTGCTGCAGCGTCACGACTCGAGAGCCTCTCGTTCCTCTCGCTCCTTCTAGCCGCTTGTCGATCTCTTCCTGCAGCCTCCCGTCGCTCAGCAGTCTCGCTACTTCGATCTCGTCCTGCCATGGTGGTCATGCCCCTCCTCCCCCCTTCCTGGGTCACTTTATATGCCAGCAGCTTGTAGTAGTTGGTGGCTACCGCCAGCGTCAGACTCTTCACTCTGCTTGACGCTCGTCCCTCTGCCTCCTCCATCGCCTCCACCGCCTGTTTCTCGTTCTCATCCACTGGATTCTTCTCCTCCTCCTTCACCTGTTCGTACTTGGTCGCCAGAGCCTCGTCCTGATATGATCGCAGTCGCTGCTTCCTGTCTCTTCTCACCTTCTCCGGGTCCTGCCTGTCCTCTACCACCTCCTCCCTCCCGCTCTCCCCGTAGAGCGCCTCCTCCAGCTTCTTGCTCTCTGCTGCAGCCACTCGTCCCCACTCGAACGCCGCCAGGTTGAGGTCCACGGCGACTCCCGTCTCCCGGATGCCCTCGAGGAGTCTGTGGCGGGGGAGCGGAAGCATGCCTTTCTGGTAGGCGAACCCAAGCGAGAAAACGTTGACCTTACCCCCATCGCCGATGAGGTCTTCACAGAGGGCGTACATCTCAGAGCTGCAGGTACAACAAGCTGTGAGAGGGGAGGCGAGGGAGGGGCTTGGGACCTCGTGACGTTGCTCTCTCCTGCTCGCTGCGTAATGCCAAGCAGCATGTCCTCAGTCGGGAAAGAAAGATCCCGATCTCTGCCAGCACCTCAGCTACTCGCACAACCTCACTCTCCTCCTCTCCTCCTCCCCTCCTTTCGCACCTGGTGAAGCTTCCTGGCATGATCGCATGCGTATTGCACAGGACGCGTGTGGAAGGTCCAATGCTGGCGAGACTGGCGGGGTAGGAGGCGGAGATGAGGTCAAGCGCGATGACAGCATCGACTGCTCGGGTCCCAGCTCGAACTGAGAGGAGGGAGAACCTGAAAGAGAATAATAAAAGAAGGGGAGGACAGGAATTGAACACGAGGAGATGACAGAGGAGGCGGACAAGCGAGGGAAGACGAAGAGAAGCAGGGGAAGGAGGAAGGAAAGAGGATTACTCTGAAGCATGTTCATCTGGACGAGCAACTTTGATCATAGAGTTCACGGAACCATTCTTCTGTGACAGACCCACCTGATGCTGCTCTCGAGTCAGCCTCCCCCTCCTCCCCCCTCCCCCTCCTCCAGTACCAAAACATTGACGCGAAGTCCAGCTGCATGTGCAGCACGGCCGATGATGGCTCCAGCTGTGATGATGCCGCAGCCTCCGACGCCGAAGAGGAGGATGCTGTGCACTTGCCCGGGGGCAAGAGAAGTAGAGGACGAGCACGGCTCCGGCACAGGGAAGTCCGAGAGCTTCAGCCTCCTCAAGGCTCGATCCTCTAGATTCCTCGGCTTTCCTCCTGCGACCGCAACGAAGGACGGGCAGAACCCCTTGTTGCACGAGTAGTCAGCGTTGCAGTTGGACTGGTCGATCATCCTCTTCCTTCCCAGCATCGTCTCCTTGGGCGCCAGGCCCACACAGTTGCTCTGCACGCCGCAGTCGCCGCAACCCTCGCAGACTTCCTCATGGATGAACATCCGTCGCTTCATCTCCTCCTGCTTCCTCACCCGCCGCCTCCTCCTCTCCGTCGCGCACTCCTGGTCGAAGATGATGGCGGTCACTCCCTCCACCTGCCTCCTCGTCAGTCCGCCTGCCACATCCTGGGCATCTCCTGGACCTGACTGAGGCGGAGCTGCTCGGCCATGAGCTCCTGGCGGGGGAGGACGCGAAGAGAGGAGCGTTTGTGCTCCCGCGGCTTGTCGGCGATGATGGTCACTTGCTTGACTCCCTCCGCCAGCAGCTGCTCCCCCATCACCTCCGGATCTGCTCTCACCCCCGTGTCGTTGGGCTGACCCCCCGTCATCGCGACTGTCCCGTTGTGCAGAACCTGATGGTCAAAGGAGGGAGTGAGGAGGAGACGAGGCAGGAGCTGAGAAAGCACCTTGAAGGTGACGTTGACGCCAGCTGCTACACATGCTCTCACCGCCATCGAGGTGGAGTGAATGAAAGATCCGTCGCCGACATTCACAAACACTGAAAGATGCTCAGTAAAAGCGCGAAGACGGACGTGATCCAATTTGAAGGAGGGGAGGCGAGGAGGGAGATGGGGCGGGGAAAATGGAGGAAGGTGGGGGGGACGGAGGAGGAGGAATGAAGTAGATGAAGAAGGAAGGCACCATGCTTGCTCTTGAGATAGGGACTCATTCCTATCCAGTTTGCACCTTCTCCTCCCATGGGAGAGAAAAACTTGATGCGATCCATGAACATCGCAAGCGTGTGGCATCCTATCCCCCCGAGAGCGAAGCTGCCTCCTGGAAGCACCGTCGAGGAGTTGTGCGGGCAGCCCGAGCAGTAGTAGGGAGATCTCTTCATCCCCACGTTGGCGAGCTGCTGCTGAGGAGGGAGCATCAGCAACGAAGGAGGAACTTCGACTGTCTCGTCGCTCAGAAGTCTCAGCGCTCGGCGAATGGCGTTGGAGATGTGCAGCAAGGAGAGGTCGACCTCCTCCGGCAGCAGGATCTTTCCTTCAAGATCTTGCTTGCCGATCACCTTCGGTCGGACCGGCGAGTTGAATAAGATGTCTTTGAGCTGCTGAGCGTGAGCACCCCTCCCGCCTCAGATCTTGCAAGCACCTGCGACTCCAGGAAGGAGCGCTTCTCTTCCACCACAAGCACTGCTGACTTGGATGAAGCGAAGTGCGACAAGGACAAAGAGTCGACGGGCCAAACCAGAGCAATCTACAGATGAATCATGTGTGTGAACAACCGGAATCAGAAAAGTTTCACAAGCAAGAACAGATGGGAAACGAGCATGGAAAAGGTCAGAGCAACAGTGTAAACTCTTTGTCTCACCTTGTAGACTGAGATTCCTAACTCACAAGCTTTCTGCTCGTCGATTCCCATCGCTTGCATCGCCTCGATCACGTCATACGCAATGGTTCCTGCCGTCACAATCCCCAGCTTGCCTCCCTTGCGATCACCCCACACCACCTGGAGGCATCATTACGTTCCTCCTCCTCCCAGCAGCCTGAACCTTGTCCCACTTGTTATGATAAGCGAAGGCTTCGACCGCCTTGAGCTTATGCTTGTACATCCTCACGTCCTGCTGACCCTCAGCCATGACCGCACAAGCAGCAGCTCACCTGAGAGATCCAGTCGTCGCGGAGTCGAAGATGAAGCCCCCCATTCGGCATCGCAAAGTCGGTGAGAGGAGGGTCGCTCGTCTCGTAACAAAGCTTGTCAAAGTTAACGTTGGTTGCACTGCAAGAAGCTTCACACTCTCTCACATTCAACATCAGTGAGGGGCAGCAACATTCTCAGCTCTTGAGACACAAGGAGTCTTCCTTGCCCTCAAAGCCTTGAAGGCTCAGCGTGGAGGCGTATCAGGCGTGTGACTTTACCTGTCAACCATTAACGACGTAACCCGCATCGCTGCCCAGCAGCCGCTGAAGCGCGATAGTTGGATGCCGTACACCCCGTACTCCAGCAACTCTGCAACTGATCCTGGTGCAAGGATGGGAACGTTCATGTCCCTGAAGTTGAAGTCGCTCTGATGAGATAGAGACGATGACTTGCACGCAGGATCATCTCCCGCCAGGCATAACACTCCTCCTCTCTTCGTCGTTCCCGCATAGTTGGCATGCTTGATCGCATCGCCGCTCCTGTCAATTCCTGGACCTTTGGCGTACCAGATTGCAAACACTCCATCCACGGTCTTGTCCTGCAGTACGCATGCCTGCTGTGTGCCCTGAACGCTGGAAGCTGCTATCTCCTCGTTGATGCCAGGAATGAAAGTGATCTTCATTTCTTTCATGAGCTTCTCCATCCTCATCAGCTGAAGGTCCAAACTTCCGACAGGAGTGCCTCTGTAGCCGGACACAAAGCCCTCTGTATCAAACCCCCGATCCTTGTCGCACTGTCTCAGCAAGACAGGAAGCTTGACTAGCATCTGCATCCCAGTCATGTAGTGCTGTCCTTTTCTGGAAACATACTTCTCATGATCCTTGGCGACTTGTGACCGTGTCAACTCACTTTGTGGTCGTCTCGCTTCCTTACGAGGAACACTCTTCGCTCTCAAAGTGATTGATCTCGAAACCCGCGTAGCCCATCTATTGCTCAACGCTCCAAGTCTTCTTGGAATCATCGTTCTTGACGTATGAGTTTTTGCCGAACCCAATATCTGATGTTTGCCGCAAGGAGCACAAACTAGAGTATTTGCCTTACAAAGGCTCGATATGCTCTCTGTCTTCTAAATGAATCAAGGTAATTCCGAATCGATGAGATCTCTAACGCCCATGATGAAACTCAGGCTCATTTTTTGTGTGAATCATTGGATGCAACCCTTGCTCGCATACGTCATCATGATCAACTTTTACTTGGTTTTTATCTTTCTCTCTCGGCTTGCTTTCTCCTTTTCCTTCTCCTCTTCTATCCCCGTCGTGTCTCTTCCCCCGACCTCTCCGCTCTTCACTCTCTTTTCCTTGCGCTTATTTCCACTGACTGCATGGACTTCACTCATTCGGGCAGTCGTAACCACAACCCATACCCTTTACCCTCCACCCCTACCCACTCTTTTCCCCTCAAGATCAGTACGTTCACAGACCCCCTACCCCTGGAACTGCTGACACCACCCATTCACTACCCCCTATTTCCATATCAATCATGCTATACCATTACCCCCGTAGTTTCCCTTGCGCCTGTGACATTTTTGAGACGGGGGGAGGTCACAACAGGGGTGGGGTGGTCGTACTTCTGAAGTCAGCAGTAATCTGACTCAAAGAGATACGTCCATCGGCCGGGCCGGCCGGGCCCGGGCCCGGGCCCGGGGGGTCACGGCAAGATGACGTTGGCGGCAGAAAAAAAGAGAAGACCGATGAGGTGTAGAGCTTGTGAGTAGGGGTACAAATACCTAATTCAGTGGGTAGGGGTAGTCATCAACCCTGTAAAAGGTAGGGGTAGTTTTACCGATTTAGTCAGGGTGGGGGTATGTTACACGAACGGTCTGAAAGCATCCTACCGGTGTGTTTGATATTTCAAAACGGGGTAGGGGTGGTTCTAAGGAATCGAATGTCAGCTTGAGAGAGAGCAAGGCAATGTGGCTTCGACCTAATCTGGGGTAGGGGTAGTACCGATACCACCGGATCTCTGCTACTTGTGGGGGGTATATGCGTCTATTAGACTAGGTGGGGGTGATGCTGTTCTTGTCGGTAAAGGGGGTGGGGTGTTGTCGAAGAATCATACACGTGGAACCCATGGCGCGAAAACCCATTGTTGGCGGCAACTGGAAATGCGTGAGTAAAGCATGCAATTCGAAGAAGACAGATAACAAGCTCAGCAAAAGAATAGAAGATCGTAAGAGAAGAGAGTAGAGCAAGAGATACGTTTTACATCCATGTCTACGGCCTCTGGATTGTTTCCTCTGCTGTCACGTCCGGCATTTCGATGATGCGCAAGTGAAGACCTTTGAACATAGGTTGTATGTTCATATTGCATATCAGTGTAAAGAATGTCAGACCGGATTAGTTCATCCATGTTCATCCATATGGATACATGTTCAGCCAGTCTCATCACCGTGTGAGGGCAGGATAGCAGCTGTCCATCCATGTGTGCAAGGTTCGACTCATCTGACTGTTTGTCCAGAACCTCGACAAGGCTGGAGTCAGCGCTCTTGTCACTTCTCTCAATGGCATGGACTGCACTGACTGCGAGGTGGTTGTCGCTCCTGTTGCCGTGCACCTCGGCTCTGTCGTGGACAACGTCAAGGCCCCCATTGAGGTTTCTGGACAGAACTGCAACTTCAAGGTGTGGATTTCTCCTGCTCTTGTTGATGAAGCTGATAGCATCTTACAAGGGCAATGGTGCTTACACCGGAGAGGTCTCTGCCGATCAGGCAAGTCATGCGGTTAGGAAGCAGGGGGCAGGGAGGCTCATTGGAGTGTTGACAGCTCGTCGACATGGGTGCCAAGTGGGTCATCCTCGGCCACAGCGAACGTCGTGAGTACTTCAAGGAGGACAACGAGATGCTCCGCCAGAAGTTGGGTATGCTGGAATGGTGGAAATCAGAGTCGTGAGGCTCACTGCATTTGCTTAGAGTATGCGCTGTCCAAGGGGTTGAAGGTCATCTTCTGCATCGGAGAGAAGCTTGAGGAGCGCAACGCTAACAAGGTAGATTCGATCAGTCTGAGCGATTGTCCCTCTCACTTTAGCTTGCTATAGACTCTTGATGTCTGCAAGAGCCAGCTCGAGCCGGTCAAGGATCTCCTCAAGCCCGAGACTGTTGTCATCGCTTACGAGCCTGTTTGGGCCATCGGTAACTCGCTTGTAATATTTTCATCGCTTTTTCCTAACATGCGTGCAGGAACTGGTGTCACTGCTACCCCTGAGCAGGCACAGGAGACCCACAAGCAGGTATACAGCTAAGGTCCACCAAGGTCTGGGGAGTTTGATTTGTGCCCTCAGATCCGCGATTACCTCGCCACCGTCAACGCTGACATGGCCAGCAAGATCCGCATCCAGGTGAACTTGTTCTGTTTGTCATGCTGCCTGCTTACATATACGGGCCCAGTATGGAGGATCTGCCAACGCTGCCAACGCTCCTACTCTCTCCGCTTGCCCCGACATTGATGGATTCCTTGTTGGCGGTGCCTCCCTCAAGGTAATGGAATCTTGCCCACCTGTATCGGTTTGAGCTCACCTTCCTTCACCAGCCGGAGTTTGCTGATATCATCAAGGCTATCGCTGCTGCCAAGAAGTAAGCCTTGAAGCTCAGTACACTTAGCTGGCTACTTGAAGAGCAAGCGAGGTTCAGATTTAGATGGATTACAGTGTTGGGCTAGTAAAGAGGGCTGGATATTTTCATGAATATGCTCATCTCGCAGTGGCGGGGATTCGGAAGTTCGACTTAAGTTCCAGTCTGTTGAATCCTCACCAGTCAGCCCGGTGCCGTGGTGTCCGACCGTCACACCGGGGCACTGCTGCGGCACTGAGGTGCTCCCCGGCGGATGCCAGCCGGGGCCCGGCTTGCCGGGACCGTCCGTGGCATTCGAGATACCGCTGGGCTCTCGAGTCTCCGAGTGACCGACCTGGAATCCAATCATTCCTGTATAATTTGAAATGTTGAATATCAGATAATCAACATATTTCAAATTTAAAGATGAGCACATTGCCAAACCCCGAGCGACTTCAGTGGTTGATGAGGATGAGGGAGAGGGAGAGGGAGAGGGAGAGGGAGAGGGAGAGGGAGAGGGAGAGGGAGAGGGAGAGGGAGAGGGAGAGGGAGAGGGAGAGGGAGGAAGGAAGCAATCAGAGGAGAAGGATGGACGTGGAAGTAGGTAGGTACCTGAAGTCTTTTCAAGGAGTGGAATGACTGTGATGCTGAGCAAGGAAGAATGAAAGCAGCTCTCTCTTTGCCGCTCTCTTTCAATCTTCTTTCTGTCACTTCTCGACATCTTCACATTCCATTGCACATTATGAAGTGCTCGTCGCTGACTGCATTCACCCTCCTCAACCGTCCTCATGACTGAAGGCCTACACATTGCTCTACCTGGTGCCCTGGGTTCTGTATCGTGCACTCATTGGTTCAACAGTGCAGCCGGGATGGCTGGAATAGCGAGAAAGCTCACGGAGGAGGAGATAAAGCAGCACCGGAAGGCTGCAGTCAACCCGGTCTGCCTCCTCTCCCCCTGCTGCAAGAGGCGGATAGGGTGCAACGCTAACTCGTAGCAGGTACCGTCCTTGAGCTTTGAGGCTGGTAACACGATCCTGCACAACTCGGTTCTGAAGAAGCGGGAGCGGGTCTACCTCAACGTGTACAGTCTGACGCCCCTCAACAAGTACCTGAGCTGCTGCGGCATCTGCATCTTTCACTCGTCCATCGAAGTCTTCGGTGTTGAGATCGCCTTCGGAGGACACGCGAACTCCAGCTCGGGCATCTTCGAGTCGAAACCATTCTACCAGCTCGTTGAAGACGGTATCCTCCTCCTCCTCCTCCTGCGCCTCTCCTTGACTGGCTGGCCATGACACAGGCATCTTGCCGGACAATCTGAGCTTGAAGGAGCAGATTTTCGTGTGCTACACGAGGAAGACGTACAGTCAACTGCAGGAGATACTCGCTGAGATTGCTCCTGACTGGCCGGGAAACGGCTACGACCTTCTTCGTCGAAACTGCAACCACTTCTCTGCCGTGAGCTTCTCCTCCCACCTCCTTCCTCCCTGACAGCTGCCAGACGCTGACCGGGATGCTCGCGCCCAAGTTCAAGTACCCCAACCACATCAACAGAATCGCTCGAGTCGCCTCGTCCATCTCCTGCTGCCTCCCAAGCTACATCGCGCAGACCGAATTTCCTCAATTTACGGAGTTGTGGGAAGGGGAAGGAAGGTGAGCGGAGGAGCTGGTGGTAGCAGGCGCTGAAGAGAGTCGCAGGCGACTAGGCAGCAGGGCGGAGGAGAAGTCAGGGAGGAGCGACAAGTATCACCATGCCTCTTCCAGAGTCATGAACAACGCAAACTTCTTAGCTGCAAGGTCGCTCGACCCTCCTTCCGCGGAGAACATCGGGAGATACGCTGCCCTGTTTGCCTCCCTCGCCCGCTCGCGCAGCCTCTGACCTCTCCTAGGGCCGCCATGCATCGATGGGAGAAGAACAGCGCGCTACTTCTAAATCAGCGCAGGAGACCGTCACCTCCTCCGCAGGTGAGGGAGGAAGGGAGGAGGAAGGGAGTCTGAGATATCTGCAGCTAATGATGAATCATGTCGGAGGATCGCATGGAAAGCAGGTGAGTGATGTGTTTACCACTGCCTCTCCCTCGCTCCCTCCCTGCCTCCTCCTCCCTGCCCCTCTCTCCCTCTCTCCCTCTCTCCTTGTCTCTCTCGCTCCTTCTTTGTCTCTCTTCTTCTTTCTCGCGCTCTTGCTCTATCTCGTCTCTCGTTCACTGCTTTCAGACGTGGCAAGCGGATGGCAAGATTGAAGTGCAGGACACGACGAGAAACAATCGAGTAAGAAGAGATGCGTGAGAGAAAGGGGAGGAGAGGGCACAGATGATGCGTAGGAGGGAGGAGGGAGGAGGGAGGAGAGGCAGAGAGGATGGTGAGGGGGTGGTGGGCTGGTTCTAAGACAGACATCACAGAGCCAACAGGAGGCGCATGACCCGGAAAGTCCCTACCAGCTGGACGACAGCAACTCTGAGCTGCAAGGTGAGAGTGCGGACCTGCCTGCTCCTGCCACTGCTCCTCTTTCTTGCTCGTGCTCGTGCTCGTGCTCGTGCTCGTGCTCTTGTTCGTCGTCGTTGCTGGGTTGCTCAGCTGCCTCTCACCTTGTGCCAGACGTCTCTGTGGAGGTGCACGAGGCCCGTGTCTCCCCCCCAAAGCCCTACGTCCTGCCTAAGGTGGGTCAAGCTTGTGCTCTGATGCCTCTGACTCTCGAGTAGCGAGGAGGAGGAGGAGGAGGAGGAGGAGGAGGAGGAGGCGGAGGAGGAAACGTGCTGGCGAAGATCATTGGGGGTGATGTTTCTCCTGCATGCCTCTTGTCTTGTGACGGCATGGCAGAAGGAGAGACGGTGACGGAGGAAGGAAGGAGCTTGTAAGTGACTCATGCTTGTTGCTCAGTCCCAGCGGGGGCGCGCAGACTCAGCATCGCAGCCTCTCATGTCGCCCATGGGTGAGCTAGGGGAGGAGGAGAACCGATGAAGACGAGGAGGTTCAGATCTCTCTGCCTTGAAGGGAGGGAGCACAGGGCAAGGAGGCTCGTTCAAGTTGATGTTTCTGCTCTTATCTACACTCACAAAAACTTCACTCCCCCCCCCTCCATCTCGCTCTGCAGAGCCTCCAGCTCCTGTCGGATTCATCAGTGGCAGGAAGGAGGGACGGAGGAGGAGGGGGAATAAGAGGAAGGTGAAGGATGGGGAAGTAAAGGGAGATAGGGAAGGGAGGAAGGGCGACCCCCCCCCGTTCAGAGGGAGGGAGGGAGGGAGGGAGGGAGGGTCCTGCCTGTAGTTGGAACGAGACCCTGCTTGCAAGAGTCTCGATCGCGCGGTTGGCGCAGGCGCCCATGACGAGGAGGCCGCGGCCGCACTCCGGGCAGCAACGAGAGTCAGAGCGACGGAGCCAGCAGGAGCGACAGATGGAGTGACCGCAAGGCTGCAGCACTACCGCTTCCTCCATAGTCTGCGTGCACAGCATGCAGCTCAGGTCCCCTTCCATGGCCTCCATTGCCAGCTCGATCCTCTGCACCGCCTGCTGTACCGCCAGCTCGCGAGTCCCAACCCTGCTCAGCCCTCGGATCCTCTCCTCCAGCGCCTCCTCCCGCCTCCTCGCGTTGCTGAGCTCTCGCTGGACTCCTCCAATGTCATGGAGGGCCAGCTGAGCGTCAGCTGTCAGCTTCTCCTGCTTGTCCAGCGAGATTCTCAGCTTGTCTCGCTCCAGCTGGAGGAGCTCCAGGCTTCTCTTGTGCTCCCCCTTCGCCTCCTCTGCCTCCCTCAGGCTCTCCCGCAGCTGCTCGACCTCCTCCGTGGCCTCCTCAAGCTCTTGCCGGGCTATG